TCGTCATGAAGGTTTTCATCCTTGTCATCTTCACATTGAGTAGGCTGAAGGAGGAAAAAGAGGGGTGGCTGGTCTTGCTGTCCCAGGAGTGGCAGAGGTGTAAGAAAATCAGCATGTAAATAGACCCACACGGTTCAAATTTATATTGTTCAAGGATCAACTGTATTACCGATAATTAGGTAATTAAACCTTTTCATGAAGATTGACTCTTTTAATATAAGACACCAATCAATAATACTTATATCTGACTTTACTCCAAAACAGATTAAAGTATCTATAATAGACATCTGTTTTGTCTGCCTGGCATCCTATTTGATTCTGTGACTATCAAACCTCTTATTTTGGGGAAATGATCTTTCCTCAACTCCTATCAATCATAGAACCCACATCCCTGGCCATGGAGATGGACCTACGACCTGTCAGGCAGACCAGTGAGAATGCTCCCCTGAGACTTTCAGAATTAGGTCTATGGAGATAGGGGAAATCCTTCCTGTGGACCTAAGTGCTGCTGTTGCCATATCTCCAGCTATGGGGAGGAACCCAGGAGAATGAAGTCAATACACAGAGGAGAAAAGGCAGGGAGAATCCCCAGCATCATTTGTGTCTGTGAAGTACTCTTCTCCTACTCTTCTCCTTATATGATTAGATGATCCAGTATATTACTCTCTTTCCCAAGCTAGTAGATTTCTGTCATTTCTAGCCAAAAGTTGGGCTAATACAGAAGCTGATATTAAGGGTTTCTGTTTGGTTGGGTTTGAATGTCTAAAATATTATCCTTAAACATAAGCAAAAAATTCTACTGGAAAAAAAATACCTTGAGGTGTGTTCTCCACAAAAGCAAAATTAAGGATATTAGGTTATAGAAGAAAGGTCTTAAAGTTAAAACACTGAGCAGGATCTTATCATCTGAGTCATGTACAAATTCCTTAATTACTCTATACCACAGAAGTATCTATAATTGAAGATAACATCTGTCACTGAACTGTCTTATAGAAAGAATGAGGTTCATAGAGTGCTTTGAGCAACTTGGAAAATAGTAATGTTTAAATCTAATGTATGTGATGCATCACATTTAGAAATGGTGAACTTTGATTAATTTCCTAGTATCCCTGATGCTCAATTTCTTTTTCTGTAAAATGGGGGTGATACCTTTTTTGAGGGGTTGACAGAATTAGCAATCATACCCACATGTGAAGCTGGGAGGTCATGATTCAGTTAAAGGTGATACTACCAGAAAAGGAAGGACAGCCAACTACCCAGGCATCCTTTGCAGGAGTTGATTTACATTTTGAAAAGTGGGCTTGTGTGGGGAAAGCTTTCTGCAGAGGTGTGTACTTAGGTGCTGGGGAAAAGACAGGAGACCTGAGGACAATAAGAGATGGTAGTAGTTGGTTCCTATCCCAGAACAATGCACTGGCCCCTACTGGAAGAGAGGCAAAGAAGCTGTACCCTGGAAACACAGCACTATTTTGGCAACTTAAGTGTTTCACAGTTTGGGAACATCTAAGCAAGGCAGCATTCTCCTACAGAAACAGCAGCATTAGAAATAGTGGAGGCCCAACAGAAGCCTGGCATGAGTAGGCTGCACCCAAGAGTGTGAACTTGTTTGTGACTCAGTGAGGAAACCCCTGAGACTTCCAAAAATAGTTGGGGAGAGGATTCTTCAGGGGACTGAGATCTCGCATGCAATGGAATTCTGAGTCAGCAAAATCTGGGTGTAAATGCTAATGTGGCTTTGTAAGAGAACACTAATCCTTGAAATAGCTGGGTTCCACATATAACAAGATTTGGCATTGAAGTATGAGCCCTATAAATGGCTATACTGTCATGCTAAGATTAACACCATGCAACAACATGGATGAACCTGGAGGACATTATGTGTAGGAAAATAAACCAGACACAGAAAAAGAAATAATACTGCATGATCCCACTCATGTGGAATCTAAAAAAAGTTTTATCTCATAGGGAACAGAACCATGGTTACCAGAGACTGGGGAGGGGAGAGCAGAAGGAAGGAAAGGGGGGTCAATGGGTACAAAGTTACAACTAGATAGGAGGAATAAGTGCTGGTGTTCTATTGCACAGTAGGGTGACTATGGTTTGCAACAGTAAGGTAGTATATATTACAAAATAGCTAGAAAAGAGGATTTTTAAATGTTCTCACCACAAAGAAATGATAAATGCATGAGAGGATAGATATGCTAAGTACTCCAATTTGATCATTACACAACATATACATGTATTGAAACATCAAACTGTGCCCCCATAAACATGCACAGCTTCAACGTGTCAAAAATTATTGTAAAAATTGAAAAAAAAAAAAAAAGATTTCTATCCACATCTCAAGATTGGCCAGGTGGATGTTACGAGCTTTGAGAATGAGGTCACATGATTTCTTCTGTTAGTTAAAAGCATAATTAATTTCGATTAAGCCTTCGACCTTACTAACAGAAGAGTTTACTGACTTACATACGCCCTCACCTCATTCTATCAAGAAGCTGAGGGGGCTAAGCAAAATAAACTGCCCCAAGGTTACCTTTATACACAAATTTTTGGGTAAATATTAATGAACTTTGACTCATATCATCTACATTTTCTAGTACAGAGTGGGAAATTTTCTCTAAAACAAAAGCATTCAACATAACTGTTTTTGTGCCACTAACATTTTTGTTATCAAACATACCACAAATGACAAAGCAAATCTACAGAAGCTTCATGGGACAGGAACTAAGTATTCATCTCAAGTGGGATAAAAACGTTCATAAATTTAGTAAATTTTAAAATTTAGAAAAATAAATTAAAATACTATAGAAAGAAAAACATTTGTTAAAGAGTTTTTCTGATTGTTCCTTTTAAAGTTTTGACATGTTCATCAGTTTTGTAGTTAATGTTTAGAACACCTACTGTTAGTACCAGTCACCACTCTGACACTCTACCTGAATTACAATGGCACCCTAACATATGTCCACTTGGTCTTTAGAATTCAGCTTTAGGAGGAGTTTCACAAAGTCTGGCGTAGGAAGCATTTGCTTTAACGAAGCCGCATTTGCATTTCCCAGGCTTTAGAAGCAGCAAAGCTCCACCATCTGCACAAACTTATAGATCACAGGAGTTACTTCTGTCTTCACAGTTTACTAGTAGTTTACTAGTTTTTAGCAGTAGCATTATGACTTCTGTGATGGCAGTCTACCTGGTGAGCACAATGTTTGAATGATTTTCACTAATTTTTCCTGTTTTTTTTTTTTTTCGGGCATTAGAAGTTCAACTACATAAATTATCATACATATGTTGTTCGTTAACTGTTGTCTTCAGTGTTCACCGGGCAATAGCTATAAAAGCCTAGGGAAAGCAGGTAAATGGCCATATGATCGAGTGATTATGAAGAGAAAATGCCTTGTTAGGTTGTATTGGGATAGCTAATGTCAACTATTGAAATAACTGTCATCATTTTAATGAGATTTGATATTGTTTTAGCAAAATGTCTCCCAGTTTTAGAGCTCAGCACATTTTTTTCCTATCTACAGAAATTAATGGTACATATATTCTTTTTTTTTTTTTGAGATGGAGTCTCACTCTGTCGCCCAGGCTGGAGTGCAGTGGTGTGATCTTGGCTCACTGCAGGCTCTGACTTCTGGGTACACGCCATTCTCCTGCCTCAGCCTCCTGAGTAGCTGAGACTACAGGCACCTGTCACCATGCTCAGCTAATTTTTTGTATTTTTAGTAGAGACAGGGTTTCACTGTTTTAGCCAGGATGGTCTCAATTTCCTTATCTCGTGATCCGCCCGCCTTGGCCTCCCAAAGTGCTGGGATTACAGGTGCAAGCCACCATGCCCAGCCTGGTAATTATATTCTTGACAAGGCAAAGTGAACCTATGAAATTTTTTTCAGAATTATCTTTTTGAGATGAATGGACACTGTAACTCACTTAATCCTCATAACAGTTCTAAGCGATAACTGCCGTTTATTGTCAAATATGTATTTAGCACTTGTATTAGGCTATTCTTTCTATAAATACCTGCGAGTGGGTAATTTATAAATTTATAAAGAAAAGATGTTTAATTGGCTCATGGTTCGACAGATGACAGGAAGCATGGTGCTGGCATCTGCTCAGCTTCTAGGGAGGCCTCAGGAAGCTTACAATCATGGCAGAAGGTGAAAGGGGAGCAGGCATGTCATATGATGAAAGTAGGAGCAAGTGAGAGTAGGCGATGGGGAAGTGCCACTTTTAAATGACCAGATCTAGATCTTGTGTGAACTCAGAGCAAGAGCTCACTTACCACCCAAAGGATAGCCCAAGTCATTCATGACAGATATGATCTAATCCACACACCTCCCACCAGGCTCCACCTCCAAGATTGGGAATTACATTTCAACATGAGATTTGGGTGGGGACAAATATCTAAACTTCATCAGCACTTATATCCAAGGATTATATGTAATACTAAAATAATCCTGCTCTGGGTGGATATTATTGTCATCCCCATTTAATAGTGAGGAAACTGAGGCACAGAGAAATTAAGTAGCTTGGCCAATCTGAAATTAATATTAGTCTGTTTTATAGAACAAAGAACTGTCACAAATATCTATGTAAAATATTTACACCACCACCTGCTAATTACTGAGTGCTAAGCACTGTATAATTTCTAAATTAATACTTCCAACCCTGTAAAGTAGCTATTATCTTAATTTTACAGATAAATAAACTAGTGCATATAGAGAAAAAACTTGCCAAAGATCATATAGCTAGTTAGTGATAGAGCTGAGATCGGCCCCCACATGTATCTAAGTCAAAACCTATGCTTTTGACCAAGTCAGAAGTCCAGTACAGTATAATCACAGATGGGGAGAGGGAATAGGATTTCTGAGTTGAAAAAAAGGGCTACATTTCATTATTATTATATCACCTCCAGTATAGCAAATAACAGAAACAGAGGTAAAAATCTCTTAGAAATTGGTCTCTATACCATACCCAACGGTACAATGACAACATAAGGAGAAGTGAGTTTTCTAATGATTTTTATGATGACATTTATAACATTTAAAAGTAGTTCAAACCGAGAAGAAATGCTTTAGCCTTAAAATTAAAGCTAACAGAAGTCCCCCCACCTTTCCTACCTTCTTTACAATGCAGTATGTGTGCTCCAGCATTACTTACACTGTGCCACATATGGCAATAGATTTGTTATTCCCTGTAACAGCTTACTCAGGGAAATTATAAAATTCCTTATCTCAGGTTTCTGAAAACCAGTTTTTTGTCTGATAGGGTAGTTTCATGGTGGTCCTTTCTAAAATCAGAAAAGTAAACTGGACAACCTTTCAAAGTTTCTCCTAAACCTTTTATGAAATAGCTATGCCAATGGAGTACTAAAAATCTTTCCAAAAAATGTAAAGGGATGTTTGTTAAAATAATGCTCAAGAGATTTGATTCCACATAGGAACCAGTACAGTAAGTAATAATGCAAGCTGCTATTACTACATAAAATATTCTACAGGGTTCAGAATAGAACATGTCAGAAACTTCTATAAAGGCTTTTTGTGCAATGGAGAAATTTTATGGTTAGAAATTTTATTCAAACATACATAGTTACAACTACCATCAAATAAGTATAAAATATATTCAAAGAATTAACCAGAAAGGGTTCTTCAAAGATAATCATAAAATATCCTAAAATATCAAGAGCATGATGGTAGTAACAAGACCATGAGAGAAAACAGAAATTATACATCAGGTTTGTACAGTTTCAGGTACCCACAACTTTAATGTAATAATGCTAGTAAGCAGCCTTTGAGTATTTCCTATACACTATCATGACAGTTAAATAATTCTCCCACGTTATTTCATTTAATCTTCACTAACCTTAGAAAGTTCTTCACCAATTTCATTTTACCAGGGAGGAAACGGAAGCTTAAAGAGATTAGCTCATATAGCTAATATATGATTGATCTGGGTTAAAGTTTAAACCCACATAGTCCAACTACAGAGCCCAAGCTCTTAATCACTGTGCTATGCTTCCTCCATAGGACAAAACTTATTCACCATCAAGAAAAAAGATTTTTAAAATACTAAAATGAAGTGAAATGGCCAAGGAAGAAGAGAAGCAAAAGCCTTTGGTAGTCTTCAAACTGAATAATCCTTGAATCATTCTGACCTCACTTCGTCTTTTAGGGGTTTACTCCAATTGGCTACAAATATAATGGGTCCAAGAACTGGGGATTAATTACCCATTTTATCTGTAGCTGATTTTCCCAGTTTCCTTTTGCTCTCTTACCTATCGTGTCGGGGGGTGGGGGAAGGCTCCCTGCAAATCCAGACAAGCAGACTTTAAAACTGTGTTCACATCATCACATTATTCCAGTTGTTTCATTACTCATGTACATGGTGACTTCAGAAATTCTTAGAATAATCTGGTACACTAAATGTCAATTATGATTTTCGGCTCTTAGCAACCCACTGTGTGTCGTTCTGGCTTCAAGAAAGACTCTAAAAATATAGTCACTCTTGTTTACATGTTCTCTGGAAATTCAGATAATATGGAATCAAAGTAAGCATTTTAAAGTACAAGATATTTTCTGCTCTCCTTAGCTTTTTCTGTTCTTGACTAATAAGAAGAAACTACCCTACAGGCCACCATGCCAGGGTATAAGAAGAGAATGAAACAGAAATCAGTAACATACAACAGGTACCTTATAAATACTGCCTAACTTTTGCCATTCATATCTAACTTCCTTCAAGTTTTCAAGCATGGGTCACAAAGAAAGAAGACAAGAGCACCATGCAATGATTACTGAAAATATAAGCATACAAGTGATTTTTCTATTAAAATACTTTATGAAACGATATGTAAAATTATTATACAGGATGAATTTTAATAATCTCCACTTTTAAAAGCTTTTAACAAGAAGTCTGCTGCCAGTCCTGGGGACAGGGCCCCAGTGAGAACCTTTTGTTCCAGAAGTGGAATCTGTTCCCGGACTGTGGGATGGGTCCTGAAATGCTCTAACACACTTTCCTGAATGAGATTCCACATCCAAACTTTCTGTTGCTTCCGTCGTTTGGCAGTCAGTTCCCCACTGGCAAGCATTAGGTTCTGGAAATCTTTCATTTTATCCCACATTTCAGAGATCCCCTCTCCACTTCTGGCAGAAATACGAATTACCTATTGAAAAGGGAAGAACCAGACCATCTCACTTAAAATGATAGAAAACATTTTCATGGGGACTGTGATACCTGCCAGTTAATTCTTATAGTCTACAGAAATAGGCAATTGACAAGAATAAGACTTTATTGCTGTGTCAAAGTAAACATACCAATATATATTCTGATGTAATATACCTAGGATTACTAAGTGCATAGCAGAAATAAAACACTGATTCAAGGTCAAATTTTAAGCCCAGAGATTTGTTTTAATTTAATTTATTTTATTTTAATTGCTCAGATGGTCAGGGGCATCATAGAGGACTTGTGACAAGGGCAATGCCAGGTAGGTTCCCCTGAGGCCTGAGTGCCAGAAAATGAAGGTAGGTTGAGAAATAGCCTAATTCCCTCTGTCAAATTTGCCTGATTTAGTAAGTGGAAGAGCTGGGCATCTGACATCTGCATGTATATATAAGGTGGCTTCAGACTCAATACAGACGACATGATTGGGAAAAACTGGGATATGACAGTAAGATAAGTCATCATTATTCTCATTATAATGATTGCAGCTTATTCTTTAATAATATAGTGTCTGTCTACAGATAAAGAGGCCCACATCAATATTACTGCCTCACTTATTACAGGATTAAAATTTTTTTCCTTACTGAAACTGGCACCCAACAAACATAATGGGAATGGAGGTATCACATCACAAGCCTTTTCTCTCTTACTCAAATTCCAACATAGATAATCAAATAATTAACTGCTCCATAATCTTAAGGATGGTTCCTTTCAGAATGGATTTGCTATCACTTCCAAATGGCTCAAATTAAGTATTACAATCACATCTATCATCTCTGATCTAGTTTTTGACATCTAGTGGTTAAAGGATTATATTTAAAATCATGACTACACACTCTGGCTTTGTCATGATTTTTAAAACTATAATCTTCACATAGAAGCAAGATTGATTATATGTCTAGTTTGGGACTTACATCCTGTCTTCTAATGTACACAATCCATTCAGAGTGAAAGATACAGAATGCAAGCAAGCTTACCTTTGGTTTCCAGACTTGTGAACGTTTGCGGAGTAATTTCAGTGCACTCACATACTCCGCTTGTATCCTTCGAGCTGGTACAATCAAGTCTCCATCAGATTTAGTTACAGCTACCAGATCTGCCATCTCGATTATACCCCTTTTGATACCCTAAAGAGATCAGAAACATTTAATGACAACCAACATAAAAATGGGAAAACTAGTCAATGCTAAGATTTTGAAAGTCATACATTTCATTAACTTTTCATCTGTATCCTCCTAAGCCCTGGATGTCAAGAATCACCATTACTTGACAGAAATTACTCAAAAGCATTGGCTGTTGGAATTATAGAAGTCGTCTGTAATATCTCTTCCAAATTTAGAGACTAACATGTTGAAATACATTCAGAATTAGGGTAAATACATCAAGTCACAACAAGATTGAGTGGCAGGAGAGTTCACATTGTCTCGTGATGGAATCTGCTTCTCATGAGCTAACACTGCAGGATGCAAAACCATCCATCAGTAAGGTGCTTAAAAAGAAAACATACCTATCATTAACATCTGCATTTCCAGAAAAAAGTCTTTGAAATTTTCCTTAAATGTATATAGCATTTTATTTTCAATTTGCATTTGAGGAAAAATAACCTGATGTCTACAAACCCATCAATCTCTTTTTTTATTATTATTTCTTTTTATACTTTGTATTTTTCTTCTTTCAGCTTTGCGTGGACAAACCTCAATCTCTTAATTCAAATTATGTCACATAAAAATATTAAAAACAAAGGATGAAATCCAAAAGTCAAACCTTATTTAGTAAATACAGGTTTTTCTACATAAGATTAAAATTTCTTTTCAAATATTTTTAAACAAAACTTTCAATTATGAAATTCTAATAGTTAATGCTTCTAAATAAGCAGCCATAATCTGCAATCACTGTGTTTTAGAATTATAAAATTGAAACAGAAGCATTGTATAACAAATAATTTGTCTGGGCTAGGTGTGGTGGCTCACACCAGTAATCCCAGCACTTAAGGAGGCTGAGGCAGAAGAATCGCCTGAGGTCAAGAGTTCAAGACCAACTTGGGCAACAAAGCAAGACTTCATCTGTAGGAAAAAAAAAATTACAAAAATTAGCTGAGAGTGGTTGCACATGGCTGTAGTCCCAGCTACTTGGGAGGCTGAGGCAGGACGATCACTTGAGCCCAGGAGTTCAAGGTTACAGTGAGTTATGATCACACCACTGCATTCCAGCCTGGGAAACAGAGTGAGACCTTGTCTCTGAAAAAAAAAAAAAAAAGGAAAATATTTGTCTAGTCTTTGAGTTTCTGGGAGGTAATCTTTTAAGTTCTAAATTCCCAGAATTTCCTGAGTAACAGGAGTGTCTGTTAATCATGGGAGGTGCCTGGGGCTATACCTGAGTTTATGCAATGAGATCACTCAGGATGGGGGACTGACCATGGCAGAAAGACCTATCATGTGATTACAGGGTTGGGGTTTTATGCCATGTGATATCAACCTAACTTCCAGGGAGGGGACAGGGGCTAGAGATCAAGTTCAATTATTCAATCAATCATGCCTACATAATGAAACCCCAAGAAAAACTTGGGATACTAAAGCTCAGGGGAGCCTTCTGGTTGGTGATACATATCAATATGCCAGGAGAGAAATGTGTCTTGAAGACACAGAAGCTTTGCATTTGGGCCCTCCCAGAGTTCTTATGTGTCTCTTCATTTGGATGGTCCTGATTTGTCTCCTTTATAAGCACATTGCAATTGTAATATAATGCTTTCCTGAGTTCTCTGAGTCACCCTAGTGCAGGAGTCCCCAACCCCCAGGCCACGGAGGAACTGGGCATCACAGCAGGTGGGCAGCCGGTGGGTGAGCATTACTGCCTGAGCTCTGCCCTGTTAGACCAGAGGCAACATCTGATTCTCATAGAAGAGTAAACTCTATTGGGAACTACGCATGCTAGGGATCTAGGTTGTGCACCCCTTATGAGAACCTAAGTGATGCCTAATGATCTAAGGTGGAACAGTTTCATCCCGAAACCATGCCCTCTTACCCCCAGTCTGTGGAAAATTGTCTTCTATGAAACCAGTCCCTGGTGCCAAAAAGGTTGGGGGCCACTGCTCTAGTGAATTACTAAACCTAAGGGATAATGGGAACTCTCAAATTTATAGCCAGTTGGTCAGAGGTATGGGTGGCCTGGGCACCCTGGAGCTTGCAGCTAGTGTCTGAAGCGAGAGGAGGCTTGTGGAGGACTATGCCCTCACCCTATGAAGTCTGCACTAACTTTGGGTAGTAGTGCCAGAACTGCAGTGCAGGAGGAGAGTAAGAATCCCATTGTACAACATATAAACTATGATAGTGGGATCCCACTATCCCCAGAACTTTTGAATCAAGTGTACTAACAACATCTATGCAACAATGGTCTCTTCTGAGTGGAGCAATGCGTGTATTTTAGTGATGTTACAGATGGAAAAATTTATGTTGCATAATTTTACATTCTCAAGGTCATATATTCTATTCCTGTAAGTTAGGAAAAAATATAAAGAATCTGCCTTTGTTTCAGGTATTTTAGCCAACATGAATGATGTTTCATTTTCTAAACCATTATCAACTTAGTTTACAAAAACACAACACTGGAAATTTTTATTTTCAGAGATATACAGTTTGTATTTTTGGGGAAAAAAATAAAAATAATTACCTGCAGCTCATCTCCTCCTGCTGGTGGCAGTAGTAAAACAAACATGTCAACCATGTCAGCAACAGCAAACTCCGACTGACCCACACCTGAAATTTTAAATCACAACTATATCCTAAAATACTCACCATTATTAGACTTTCTCAACTACATTGACCATCATTTTCATTCAACTTCATTCACTCATACTCTTGGTCACACAGTCAACCTGGTCACCTCTTTAAACATCACACTTCTGAAGAATGTATTAAATGTCATATCTTACCCTCTAAGCAAACCAGTTATCCTTCCCAGCTCTCCCGCTCTGTTCTTGGATTGTATGGAGAACCTAAAGGCTTCCATCCTCTCCTCACTCTCACAGCTCTTTCTTGGCTTCCCTTTCATCAGCGAACAGCTTGAACACTGTGACTCTAGTCTTGAATCATGCCTGCAAATAGTTTTATCTTTTTTGTCTTCTTGTCCTCACACTTGCCTGCAAACGCCCAATTATGTAGGGATCAATCCCACTATGTGTGTTCTCTCCTCCATAAGCACGTGAGAGAAATCACTTAGCTCTGTGGACAAGAGCCACGACAGGCAGCCTCTGCTACATCTTCCTTACGGCCTGGCAAAAGCAATCTCCCTAAACGCCCTCAGTTGGCTTCCATTCCATTTCCCACAGCAGCTATTATGACCATTCACTGTACCATAATCTCCCTACTTGATCAGGAGCACAGCACCTACTTCACAGAGGAAATAAAGGCAAGAACTTTCTAGGCTTCTCCCTCTCCCATACTCCGCAGGTAACAAGACACAAATAAAAACAGCCTAAAGCCTCCTCTGCAGTCTCAGTGTAAGAACCATTTGACTGAAAAGGAATCTCTCATTCTTTTTCACTTCCTCTGGGTCCTTGCTGATTTTTATCTTTAACCTCTTGTTTGTCTACAGGCCCTTGCCCTCTGGCACAATACATAAATTGTGCTCAAATCTTTCTCATCTTAAAACCACATAAAATAAAAACAACAACAACAAAATAACAAGACAAAAACTCACAAACTCCTCCAACTATCACCATGTTTCTCACTTTTTTTTTAAATACTCAAGTTTCTGGAAAAAGGTAATTTATGCTCACTCCTTCCACTTCAATTCATGTTCATCTCATACCACTTAAAACTGGCTTCTAGCCTGGGTGATGTAGTGAGACCCTGTCTCTACAAAAAATACAAAAATTAGCTGGGCATGGTGGTGTACCTATAGTCCCAGCTACTTGGGAAGCTGAGGTGGAAGGACAGCTTGAACCTGAGCCTGGGAAGTCGAGGCTGCAGTGAGCTGTGATTGCACTGCTGTACTCCCACCTGGGCAACATGGTGATACCCCATCTCAAAAAAAAATCTTGCTTCCACCAAAACTCTGGAAACTCTCTCCCTTTCACGGTGTGATGGACTTCTAGTTGCCTATTTGATATTTATTCTTTCCTATTTTCTCACCCAAATGTTATTAGGAGTATCAACGTATCAGATGAAAGACCACATTCACAAGATCCCCTTTCAGCTAGATATGATGAATGAGTCAAAGCAACAGTCATTAGATGGGGTTTCCGGAAAAGTTTTTTGAAGATGGCTAATCCAGCTAAACCTCTTATGCCACCCCTCCCTGCTTCCTTATTTCCCTTTCCTTCTTCAATCTATGTGGAACATGGAAGTGTCAGTCAGAGCTACATCAGCCATCTTTTAACCATGAGCAAACTGAGGAGGATGGAAAGTGAGTGCTAAGAATGGTAATCTGACAGACAAAAGAAACCTGTGACACCCACAGCACTGTCAAAACACCTTACCTGCTCCGGACTGCCTGCCTCAGGCTCCTTTTTATTTTAAAGAGAGACTGGGTCTTGCTCTGTTGCCCAGGCTAGAGTGCAATGGCACGATCATGGCTCACTGCAGCCTTGAACTCCTGGGCTCAAGTCATCCTTTCACCTCAGCCTCCTGAGTAGATGGAACTACAGGTGTGTAACACAATGCCTGGCTATTTTTTTTTCTTTTTTTTTGGCAGAGCCAAGGTCTTGCTATGTTGCCCAGGCTGGTCTCAAACTCCTGGGCTCAAGCAATTCTTCCACCTTGGCCTTCTAAACTGCTGGGACTACAGGAATAAGCTACCATGCCTGGCCTCAGGGTTCTTTTATTTTTTGAGACAGAGTCTCACTTTGTCACCCCAGCTGGAGTGCAGTGGTGCCATCACAGCTCACTGCAGCCTCAAACTCCCCAGGCTCATGTGATCCTCCCACTTCAGCCTGCCAAATGGCTGGGACTATAGATGCGCACCACCATGCCCAGCTAATTTTTTTATTTTTCTGTAGAGACGGGGTTTTACCATCTTGCCCAGGGAGGTTTGGAACTCCTGGGTTCAAGCAATCTGCCTGCCTTGGCCTCCCAAAGTGCTGGAATTACAGGCTGGGGCCACAGTGCCCTCTCTAGGTCTCTTTTATTTAGAAAATAACCTCTTTCTTGTTTGAGTCACTGTTATTTTGAGTTTCTGGGAAAGGTGGCTAAATACAATTTCCAGGTAATATATTTGGTTTCTAAGGTGTTCTTCTCCTTTGATTCTCTACTACCACTCAGGCAACTAACTCTTCATTCATCTACTTTTTAATGGTGGAGTTTCTAAAGCCCTGTCATGGCTATTGTTATGAACTGAGTTGTGTTCCCCTCATCTAAAAACATTCCTATGTTAGGCTAGGTGTGGTGGCTCAAGCCTGTAATCCCAGCACTTTGGCAGGCCGAGGCAGGTGGATCACAAGGTCAGGTGTTCGAGACCAGCCTGGCCAATATGGTGAAACCCTGTCTCTACTAAAAATACAAAAATTAAGGTGTGGTGGTGCACACCTGTATTCCCAGCAACTCGGGAGGCTGAGGCAGGAGAATCATTTGAACCCGGGAGGTTCAAATGATTGCAGTGAGCCAATATTGCGCCACTGCACTTCAGCCTGGATGACAGAGTGAGACTCTGTCTTTAAAAAAAAAAAAAACAACAGAAAAAAAAAAACACATTCCTATGTTAAAGTTCTAACCCTCAAGGTGACTTTATTTGGAGATAGGGCCTTGAAAGAAGCAATTAAATGAAGTTATAAGGGTAGGGCCTTAATCCAATAGGACTAGTGGCCTTAATCCAATAGGACTAGTGTCCTCAAAAGGACAGGAAGAGATACTAAGAGAGTAAAGTGAACAGGAAGAGACAAGGGAGAGTGAAGATGCAGCAAGAAGGCAGTCATCTATCTACAAGACAAAGGTACGGGTCTTAGGAAAAACCAAACCTATGGGCACCTTGATGTTGAACTTCTGTTCTCCAGAACTGTGAGAAAATACATTTCTGTTGTTTAAGCCATCCAGTCTGTAGTATTTTGTTATGGCAGCCCTAGCAGATTAATATAAATGTCTTTCATTTTTGTCTGATATTTTCCCCAGTTGATCTAAACCAAATTCTTAACTTAAAGTATGAAACTATGAACTATGCTGGTAACTGTTAAATCTGTATTTCTCATTCAGTCCTTTTCTCTCGAGACACACAGTCACTCGGATACCTAATAAGCATTTAACACTTAATATATTCACAGCTGAACTCATTGTTTTCCTCTCTGCACATCCACTTTTTCCACAGTATTCTCTATTATCTGCAATTCCCCTTCCTTCCTTATCTCATATCTTATCATGGATAAAATCCTGCCCATTTATCTTCAATGTTACGTTGATCCATCTCATCTCCATTCCCACTTCCTTTGCTTCATTCACACCTCTACCATCTCCTTCTGGGATTAGCACAGTAGTCTCCTGATTCTATTCTAGCCCTCCTTCTAATCATTCTATACTCTGCTGCCAGGGATCTCTCCAAAATACATATCTGGTTTTCTCACTCTCCTGCTTATCCAGCAGCATCTTCCCACTCCTTTCAGGGCAAACTCCAGAAGACGCCATGGCATGGCATGTAAGGTCGCTGACAATCTGGCCCTGGCCTACTGCTCCAACTGACCTCCCTTCATTCCCTGCCTTCACACTCTGGGCTCTAAGTATCCTGAGCAAACCGCACTTCTCTGGATGGGCCATGTTTTCTCACTCCTGTGTATCTTTGCAAATGTCCTTTATCCTACATTTTGTTTAACTCGAATTCTTCCTTCAAAACTGAGTTCAGCTGTCACCTCCTCTAAAAAGTCTTCACTGGACCCCCAAATCTGAGTTAGGCTGTATCACAAACATTTATCACATAGCAATATAATAGATTGTCTCTCCACAAGAAAGAATTTATTGGGGTTTTCATTTCTGTGTCTTCATCACATGTAACTATATGCTAAGGATATAAAACAATGAAATAAAACATATCTGCATTTTCAAAAGGCAGCCAACTACATTAATTTTCTTGGTGAACACAGTAGACACATGAAATGTACTTAAACAAAATAGGTGTTGTGCTAAAGCATCATTTACACAGATCATCCTAATGCTTACAGTTCTCCTCTGGCATGTATAATATACCACCTATGTAACAGTTATCCAGATAGATGGCTTATTTTTACTTTTTAAAATAAGATCTTGGAGGGTACAGATTATAACCTATACATTCATATCTTCTATGGAATATGGGATATCTTGTATTTAATTATACGTTTAGCAAATATCTGCTGAATGAACAAAAATAAGTTGTCACTCATCTTTATATAGCATTCATAAAATACTATATTGTTATGAAATAGAATATCACACTCACCTACGGTTTCGATAAGAATTATGTCATATCCTGCTCCTTCACACAACAGAATAGCTTCATTTGTGGTCCTTGTCACGCCTCCTAAAGTTCCTCTAGTAGGAGATGGCCTGATGTATGCATTCATATCTCTTGATAACTCAGTCATTCGGGTTTTATCACCTAAAAGTGAACCTAAAACATACAGTTACATTTTATAATCGTGGAACAGTTTTACAGGTCAATTTTCAGTCAGTTCCTAGAGGGAAGTGCTTTATGCCATTTTTCCCTAAATCTCAAACTGCATTTCATATTACTGAGCTTCTCTCCAACTCATTGTATACAATGATGTCAGATTAATCTTAACATTTCAAGTCCCTCAAAACCTGTAATTTTAACTTCCCGCTGACCAAAGGTTCCAATCTAGATTCTTCAGCCGCACCTTACCTGTCCAACTCTGGTTTCTACTGGTCCTCACACCAATCCTCTGTTCTAACCAAGGTGGTTACTTTACTGTCATCTTAATATCACTGTGTTTGCTTCTGCCCATCTTTTGTTTGTGCTCTCATGTCAGAAGTATCTCTCCTGTTTCCTCACTGCTAAGTTATAGCGTGTCAAGCCCAGGGTCTGTATTCTGGCCCCACCATTTCACACTGTTCAATTCTGAGAGGTCACTTTACCTTCCTGAATCCTCTTTCCTCAGCTACATCACAAGGGTAATATGCTACTGGGAGAATCAAATGTAATTATATACAGGCATGTGCTTCAAAAACCGTTACTAACAAAAACACAGAACTTATCCACCTAATAAAGATCAGTGAAAGTCCTTGCTCCTTCATATAGTCTGCCTGGAACCTTTTCAGCTCATGCCCATCTCTGTGATTTTTCTATGCTACAACAGCTCTGCAATGTATGCCAGCATCCTGGAGGGCATAAGAGAACTTTAGTGTCCCTCCTCTTTCTATTATCTCCATGAGCACCCTCCACTCCTCATTCTTTTATTTTTGCAAATGACATTTTCTCAACCTTACGTAAATGCTACACAAATATATCTTCAAGCTGCCCCTTCTGCCCAGTCTGTTGCTTCTAATCGCCTACTACTTAGAAAATGTGGAGCTCTCACTGAATGCAATGTAAGCTGAGTTAATGGATGGAAAACTATTCATACAACACATTTTTTGGTTTCATATTTTTAATTCTTATCTCTTTCACACAGTGGTTCTCAACTGGGGGCAATTTGGCAATGTCTAGAGACATATTTACTTGTCACAAGTGAGGGGTAGGGTGCTACTGGCATCTACTGGGTAGAGGCCAGGTATGCTGCTAAGTAAGCATCCTTCAATGCACAGGACAGCCACCCACAACACAGAATGATTTGACCTAAAATGTCACTACTGCCAAGGTTGATATACCATGCTTTAAATAAGTATTTGCCGACAGGACAACGCCTTACATATGTTGTACACTAAATGCTTAACAAAGTGTTAAGAGCAGGCACTCAATAACTGTGGAATGAAACGGGTTATGTTTTTGTTTTCACTGTAGTATAATATTTTGACAAACATCAATACTTACAAATTCTAGAAGACTAAAACTCCCGGGACTATTACCTTTTACTACTTTGCTTCAGTCATATAACAACATTTGTAGGTGTACTGCTGTTCTAATCTGAATATTTATTTTCCCTCTTTTTAAGAGCTACCTTTTCCACATAATGTTAAAGATTGAAAAGTTTCTTAAAGATATGCTCTTTTACCACTAAATGTCAGTTCAGAGTCTTCTCATAGGTTCTAATTCTAGACCACACATGTACTCCATACATCAACTTCCCTATTTACTTCACACACAACCTTTTTCCAAGGTAATTTTCTGCATGAAATAATCTCTGTGTAAGTAAACAATCTGCCAAAGCTATACTTTAAATTACTACCCTATAGATTCCATCACATTGAAGTAAACATTAGGAAATTACTCTCCCATGTCTTAGCCAGCGATTCCAAAACTGTTAATTGTAGACCCTCATGAAAGTCTCAAAGCTATCATAGCGGGTCTGTGAATTCAAAGCACAAAAAAGATTGACTATAGATCAAAAAACTAATGCTTCTCAAACTTTAATGTAATGCTGTTTTTCAAGTGTATGTACTGATACAATAGGGTAGAAATTTATATTGAGTGTTTTGTCTATCCTTGTATTTTTTTCTTTCAAAGTCTACATAATTTTTTGCCTGAGAAAGGGACCACTATTTTTTGAGAAAGGTTAGGAACCACATAGCTATGTAACTTTAACCATAGGCTATTTTGTTACATTATTTTGTGTCTATTTTTATCTCAAGCCATTATTTTTTTTCTATTGTTCAGTATTCTAGAATATTGTGAAAATGGGGGAATGGCCTTCTTACCTATATATAAATGAGGGCCACTTACTAAAAAATCCTTCATTAAGTACTTACTTTTAACAAAGTTCTAAAGCTGTAAATAAGACAACATATTGACAGGGATTTAATTTTGAACCTTGTGAGCAAAAATTTTATTTTACAGTTAACTTTTTTTATTATAGTGACTCAAAAATTTTGAACGTTCTAAGCTAGATTTCTCAATGGGGTGATAATAGGAATTGTCCACGTCTATATTAACCTAAGTCCCTAAAATATGATTACATCATCATTCTGAATATTTAGTATTAAACCCACATTATAATACAGTATGCAAAAATCAAATACTTTCATAAAGCATCTTGTATTTACCCCTTCGCAACACACATTGTATTGTAATGGCCTGTGTTTGTGTTTCTCGCATAAGATGTAAACCTCGCTAAAGCCAGAACTGTATCTTGTTCACCATTATATAACACAGTTTAAGAATCTTCCATGTACAATGCCTCACCTATAGTAAGCACTCAAATACTTGCTAAGTGAGTAACTGTAATATGAAAAGCTTAAATCATAAAGAGGGGTAAAGCAAGAAAAAACCTTTCCTGTTTATATGGTATGCTTTCTGTTTTCTTTAAAAGATCCTTTGGGGAACTAAGTTTATATTCATTTTATCTCTGATGAGCTGCAAATTAAACTTTGAGTGACTTCATGACCTCAAATCAGAAAGTAATTGCTTAACATTCTGTGCAACATACAATGTACTATGCTAAATGCCATAAGGGGAATGGCAGTATATTACAGTGCCCCTCTAAGAGCTTTCTGTTTAACTGAACATATTATATAAACAGTTGACAATTATAAACAGCAGTAAGGTGGGTTTGTTTGTTTGTTTTTTGTTTTTGAGACAGAGTCTTGCTGTCGCCCAGGCTAGAGTGCAGTGCCACGATCTCGGCTCACTGCGAGTTCCACCTCCCAGGTTCACGCCATTCTCCTGCCTCAGCCTCCCGAGTAGCTGGGACTACATGCACCTGCCACCACGCCCGGTTAATTATTTTTTTGTATTTTTAGTAGAGACGGGGTTTCACCGTGTTAGCCAGGATGGTCTCGATCTCCTAACCTCGTGATCCGCCCACCTTGGCCTCCCAAAGTGCTGGGATTACAGGCGTGAGCCACCACGCCCGGCCCCTAGAAGTAAGGTTTTTCTAATGCTTAAGAGATGTTAAAACATTATGAGGAAAATGATGCATGAGTAAGTACCTATTTTGTGAATTGCACAGGTGCTAAGGCAGCCAGGAAACACAACAGGAGCAAAGAGGGGTCTGGCCTTATGCATGGGAGCTGAAGGACTGAAATTTGCATTTGATCATCTTCAACTTCTGGCAACTGTTGTCGCAGTTTTCTGAGTGCCCACTGAGCTATCCACAAGCTGGCCTCCTCTGAAGAGGACAACACTCCCAAACTACTTCCACCTAACTCTGCAGAACTCCCTTCCTTCAGCGAAACCAAACTTAGCTAGCAGTTAGAGGTCACCCAACTGTGCCAATTCCTACTAAATTATAACAGAAAGCCCCTAGAGCTCTGCAATTTAAAAAGAATCAGTCATACTTACCACCACTAGTACAAGAAGAAGGGTCCACAGCCAGCACAGATAATTTGTGCCCTCTCTCAGTAAGCATTTTTCCAAAATATTCTATAAATGTTGATTTTCCAGCACCAGGGGGCCCAGACAACCCTATGGTGGAAAGAGATCTTCTAATTCAATGAAACAAATGAAATCAGAACTACGATCAGCTTTACTGAGTAAAATATTAGACTACCTTCTAGTTCCCCTAATGTATTAAAACCACAATTCATATATTTCAGCATGTCCTAAAATGGCAAATAAAAATCTGTTTCTTTAATTCCTGAGTAATGGGGCTATAAGAAGGAAACACTCTGGGTTCCACATGTTCACAAAATTCACTTTTAAAAATTATAAAACATGCTTTGCCTTTGTACTATAAAGTAGATCTTTCTGGACAGACTTCATTGTCTCCATTGTTAAAGGGCTCAATTTCTACATCTGCCCACCTCGCATCATGATCAGTAATTATTCTACCTACCTCAGTTCTGTATACTTCTTCCCACTGGAAAAACAACTCATTATTCTAGAAATTCCCAGTGATTGAGAAAGCAATTCTCTATTTATAAGGGATCATCTTTTTTCTTCATATCACTCGTAACTCAAAGAATATAAACTGAATTCTGAAAAAAATAATTTATGTTAAGAAAATCAGAAAATTCCCCCACTTGGAGAGTTGGCAGTGCACAGCAGGTAAGAGCACAAATCCTGAAGCCACGCAGCCAGCTCTCATTCTAGCTCTACCTCCCACAAGCTGTGTGCTCTTGGGTAAGTTACTTTGAACCTCTTTCTATGCCTCAGTGTCCACTGCAATAATAAAATAGATATGGTAACAGTACTTCTCTCTTCAGATTGTTTTAATAATTAGATGAGTTAATGTCTGCAATATGTTTAGAACAGTGCATGGCATAAGAGATATATAAATGTATGTTAAATGAAATATATAAAACATAGGCATTTAACTAACTACAAAGTATGTATAGTGTACGGTATGCCTGACTCCTTACCACAATTCTTAGGGCAGATCCAACACTTATCTTAAACACCTTTTTAGATGCTGAATAAACATCTGTTGCTTTTACTTATGATGAAAAAAATAACTGCAATAAAGACACGTTTATCTGCCTCACAAGATCAAGACGGAAGAACCAGAATAGCACTACAAAGTTATCTGTGAACTGCTAGTTAATTCCACACATTTCTGAGACATTTTTTCAAAGATTCTCTAAAATCTAGTAAGTAGGCAGTTTGTCATAACTAGAATTTCTCTGTGGGAGTTTGCTAATATCTTTGATTACCATACATAAAGATTATTAACGTCCAATGTAGTACTCTCAAAATGAGAATCCCTCAGTCAGGGCAGAAGATTAAGAAGTCTGAAAAATGGGGACCAGTATAAATATTGGTTGGTGAGCTATTTTGAAATTATCTTAAAGCATCTATGCCCATTACCCTAAAAACTAGGAGGCTTTTGTGTCTGCATTGCCAATAAACTGTGAGATAAAAGTGTAACGTAACATGAAATTTTAAAAGTATTTACTCATTCTCCACAAAATTTTTGCACTTTAACCACCAAGGCAAGTTATTTTTAGCAGGAGGGTTGGTTCAAATCACCTAGTTCACCACCATGGGACATTCTCATTACACCTAAACTGGCTTGTTTAATTCTTGCTGGTCAAACATATCTAAATTGTTTTACAATGCACAATTTCAAAAGCAATTTCAGAACCACGTCAAATTGTTCAAGAAATCAAATGAACATCTAATATACAGACAACGAATAAATATGATCTCTTTTTTAAAGCACATTTTGATAGGCTGGGCATGGTAGCCTATGCCTGTAGTCCCAGCACTTTGGTAGGCCAAGGTGGGAGGACTGCTTGAGCCCAGGAGTTCGAGACCAGCCTGGGCAACATAATGAGACCCCATCTCTACAAAAAACTTAAAAAAAAAAAATTAGCCAAGGATGATGTTGGAGGCATGATGTTGGAGCCAAGCATGATGTTGGAGCTATGATCACCACAGCACTCCAGCCTGGGTGACAGAGTGAGACTCCATCTCTAAAAATAAAATAGCTGGGCACAGTGGTTCATGCCTGTAATCCCAGCACTTTGGGAGGCTGAGATGGATCACCTGAGGTCAGGAGTTCAAGACCAGCCTGGCCAACATGGTGAAACCCCGTCTCTACTAAAAATACAAAAAGTAGCTGGGCGTGGGAGTGCATGCCTATAATCCCAGCTACTCAGGAGGCTGAGGCAGGAGAACTGCACGAACCCAGGAGGCAGAGGTTGCAGTGAGCCGAGATTGCGCCATTGCACTCCAGCCTGGGTGACAGAGCAAAACTGTCGCAAAAAATAAATAAAAAATAAAAATAAATAAAATACCTTTTGCTACTGAGATGGCTGGGTTTACAGCCACTCCCAGAAACTCAATGAAAAGTACCTGAAAGAAGTGAGACTTGCCTATAGAAAGACTAATGAACAACCTAAAAGGCAGAATTTTGAAACGTGATAATTATAGTTGATACGACAACAAAACAGGGAACTCACTTTAAACTATTTAAGCCAAAGGATTACTAAAAGGAATAGGAGTAAACTCATAGTAGTTCTTCCTATGAATATTTCTATCCTGGGATCCAGAGCAAGATTCTTGCCAAAATAAAAATCTTATATTCTTTTCTTAAAATTCATAGCCTTGGTTCAAATGTCATGGCAATTTTTTCAACTTAACAAAACTAATATTTGCCATGAAGACTCATTTAAAATTCATCCAAATATTGTGAAAAAAAAGTCCCCATTCAATTGCAAACTATTTAGACTTTTTTTAATTTTAAATAGAATACAGAGAATTTGCAAAACTATTTACTGAAAAAACACACATAAAAAGACTGACCTACTCGAAATGCTAGTGGTTTTCCTCTATTTGATTGTTCTTGTTCTCTGTGGTAAAGTAATACTTTCTGAAGAAGCACCTGGGCTAACTCCTTTTTCCTGCTATGAGTTGATTCTACAAGAGTTATGGCCTCTGCTAAACAGGCCCTTTGCCCTTGGATTAAACCACTATAAAGTTTATCCACAAATCTTTGCTCTTTATCAGAAAGTCCTTCTGTGTGGTCCTTTAAGGTTGTTTGTACACATAATTTTCTCTTTAAACCATTTGACAGCAGCATCCACTTTGTACAATGGAGTCCAAGAGAATTAAACGGCTGAGCACATTGGATTCCTGATCCGAGATGAGTACTTGAGTGAAAGATGAAGTGGTAACATCGGAAAGGTGCTCTTAAAAGACCTTTTAGGAAATGCTGGTGAGGATGTGGTAGCAGCATGGGCATATTCATTTTATTTGTAACTGAAGAAAACACTGTATGCGTTTTGGCTCAACGTGATTTGTGACCTCCCTAGAAGAAAGAAAAACATGTTAGCCAGTTTGATATATAACTAAAATACTGAAGGAGTAAAATTTGAAAGCCTAGTGTTTCCCCCATATTCTAACCCACACATAATCAGAGTTTTTGGTAGTACAAATGGGTGAAAGTTTTCTTACTAAATAAACTTAAAAGAGAAGACTCCCTCCATGGCCACAGTTAATATTTGGAGTAACCCAAATAATGGAACTGCTACTCTACTGCGAAGGGGAATTTACATTAACGTTTTCTTTTAATAAAAACAATATATAAAATACCACTAGGGTAGAAACTTTATGTTATGCTTTCTCTTACATTCATCTTAACAGTTTCCTCAGGTCAATACACCAGATTCTGAAGCTCATACAAAAGGTAAAAAAAAAAATGAATCTCTCTGATGCTGTCCTTGTATTCACTCTCCACAAAAAGAAATGTGATTACTAAGGTAGGCACTTCAGGTACAAGTTTAGATACATGTTTGTATTCAATAGACTCATCCTTGAACACGGATGTATGCAAAAAGTAGCCTAACTTAAAGCACACAAATAAGCCATAAGTGAACTGTAGGAGTTGTGTAGTAACCAGATCAGTGTATCTCAAAGTATAGTCAGAACCACCCGGGTGCTTATTTAAAATGCACATTCCCAGCCCCACTAATCAGAATTCCTGCAGATTCACACTAAAGTTTGAACCACTATGAAATTAGATAAGGATCTTTTGTTTTGTTTTGTTTTGTTTTTGAGACGGAGTCTCGCTCTGTCGCCCGGGCTGGAGTGCAGTGGCCGGATCTCAGCTCACTGCAAGCTCCGCCGCCCGGGTTTACGCCATTCTCCTGCCTCAGCCTCCCGAGTAGCTGGGACTACACCGCCCGCCACCTCGCCCGGCTAGTTTTTTTTCGTATTTTTTAGTAGAGACTAAAAAATCACCGTGTTAGCCAGGATGGTCTCGATCTCCTGACCTCGTGATCCGCCCGTCTCGGCCTCCCAAAGTGCTGGGATTACAGACTTGAGCCACCGTGCCCGGCCTGATAAGGATCTTTTTAATGATGATATACTGATATTCTCTACTTCAAATTGTATTAAAGAATGAAAGTTGACATGGTATGCCAAGTCAGGGCAGTGCAGAGGTTATGAGCCATGGTCACTATGAATCTCTGCCAAAATAACCTTAGGCAAGTTACTTGACCACTCCATTCCTCAGCTTCCTCTTGAGTAAAGAGAATATGTACAAAAGCAGAGTGGTTATGAGAACAAACTGACAATTCTTGTAAAAAGCTTAAAACAGTGTCTACCATGGAGTAAGAGTTCCATTAACCTTAGCTTTTATTTAATTACACCAAGTTATGAAACATTGGTAATAATTCTTGCAGTAGCAAAGTAAAATTTACAGTTACATGTAACTCACCCAGTTTGGGTTTATGAGTATTTGTAAATTTTGGTTGATTTTCAAGCACCTTGTGGCATGATGGAATAAATTATTGCTCCAAGATACACCTCTAAATGGTACTTCAAGGCCAATGAACATGAAATTAATTAGTTACTTAACATTCTATTAGGGAAAAAGAATAGTTTAAGATTTTTTAAACTGGTAGAACTATAAGTGCTCATCAGTTTTCCAAAAACAACATTTTCTCTATTGCGGGGGGGTGGGCATTATAATGTCTATTTGTACAAAATTAGCCTTATTCTAAAAGGACAACTCAAAATGTATAAAAGTGTTTCTAAAAAACAATTTTAAAAGATCTAATGTCACCTGTCACACAAACACACAAAAAGACCTTTAAAACAAAACTTTAAGAGGGAGTCTACTTTGGAAGCTCTCTTTCAATACCACCTTTAAGCACATTTCTCATCAACACCACTACCACTACCAACAGACTGGAATCCCACAGGCAAGAACTGTATTTTTATTCAACCACTATCTTCTAAGCGCATACTACTTTTCAGGTCCCATGATAGGTGATAAGAGTAATGGTGACTATAGTAATGGTACTGATGGTGATGACAATAGTATTTGATTATGTTCCAGCCATTATACCATAACCTTCTATTAATATATTAGTTCCTTAGGGCTGCTGTAACAAATTACCATAATTATCGTAACAGAATTAGTTACTTAATTACATTGCAAAGACTCTTTTTCCAAATAGGGCCATATTCACAGGTTCCAGGGATTAGGATGTGGACACATCTTTTTGAAGGCCATCATTCAATCTGCTACACTTTCTTAGGCAGGATGCCTTATTCATTATCTTATCTTAAATCCTAGCACTTCAAGAGCTCACAGAATAAAATACATCACATCAAAGAAAGAACAAAGTGCCATGGGAACAGACAAGATTACAGGAGCTCACTCTTCTTGGGGAATTCAAGTCAGAGGAGTCCAAGTCACGACCGAGTCTGAAATAACAAAAATGTTGAAGAAGGTTGAGGCAGGCTTTCCAGGCTGAGGACTTAAATGTGCAAAATCAGAGTTGGGACTTGGTCTCTTCCCTGTCATGTCAGAGAAAATGGAGAAATTCAGTAAGGCAGAAGCTGAAGGTATATGAAAATACTGATAGGAGATGAGGCTGGACTGGAGGTAAACTGAGGTCAAGAAATTAAATTTTGTCTTGTGGGCAGTGGACAAATGACAGAGTAAAACCTTTATGGAGGTGACATAATCAACTTTGCTTTTGAAGAGATAACTCTAGAAGCAGTGACATGACGTCAAGAGTGATGAGACTTTTTAAGAGAGCCCAGTTCAGGAGCCCTAGCAAGAAATCAAAGGAGATGATGAGGACCTGGACTTAGGCAAGGTATTAAGGAACGGAAAAGAAAAGCCTGATTTAAGACCTTCTTGACCTATGCTATCTTGTTAGAATCCTCAAAGTCTGACATGGAGCCTGGCACACTGCAACTGCTTAAATAAAAAGAAAAAAAGAGCTGCTGCTGATCTGAACTTATTTCATTCCCCAAATGCCTGGCACATTAGAGTCTACAAGCCACTTTCAGATACTTTATTTCAACTTATTCTCCAGTTAATTCCATGAGGGCAATACAACAGTTTTAATTTTCATTTAACAGAAGGGGGAAAGAACACTGAGAGACTGAGTGATTACAGTCATAGCCAGTGGCAGGGCCAAGATTCAAACCCAGGTTGTTTGACTCTTTATGGCAAGCATTCCTTAATAAATTATATTAACATAACAGAGAAGTCCTTTGGCTACAAGGGGAGTAGATATTAGTAACTCTGCCCAACTTCTGAAGTAAGAAGTCTTTTCAGTTGCAGTGATGGTGGTGGCATGAAGAGGAGCCAAAGAACACAGACAGGAAATCTGCAGGATAGAAAACATTATTACCAAATCTAGTCCTACTGTCCCATAGGGAAGATGTTGTCATACGTAGTCTAAGAGCAAATTAGAACTATTTAAAATATGCTCCTTAATTAACAAGTCTTAACAGGACTACCTCCTATTACCAAACAAGCTGTGTTCAAAAAAAGAGTGACAGAGGTGGTCAGGGTCGGAGCAGGATAGCAGAATACAAGGCTTCACCAATCATTCCCTACCTGGTTTTAATTTTGTATCACTCAAAGAGGCACTGAAGAGGCAGGAAAAACCATTTTGAATACCCAACACCACCCCTCTCCCATTCCCTGACAGCAGTGGCATGATGCAGAGAGCATTTCTGTGCGCTGGGGAGAGGGAGAATATAGCAACTTTGAGGCAGTGCCACCCTGCTATAGCAGAAAGCAAAACCTGAAAACTCAGCTGGCACCACACACAGAAGGAACTGTTAACCATTAAACCAGCCAGAGAGGAATGGCTGTTCCCAGCACTTGAAACTTGAGTTTCCTGAGCTCACAGAAGCCTAGCCACTGTGGGTTAAAGTGCTCTAGTGTCTCAATTAAACTTTAACGGAAGTCTAGACCACAAGGACTGCAACTCCTAGGCAAGTCCTAGTGTTGAACTGAGCCCAGAGCCAGTGGACTGGGGGGTTTCGGGGCGCGGGGGTGGGAGCGAAACATAACCCAGTGAGACACCAGCCGGGGCAGCAAAAGGAGTGTTGGCATCACTCCTTCCCTAATCCCAGGCTGCACAGCTCATGGCTACAAAAGAGACACCTTCCATCTGCTTGAGGAAAGGAAAGGGAAGAGTGGGGAGGACTTTATCTTGCATCTTGGATATTCTCAGTCACAGCAGGATGGGGCACCAGTTAGAGTCATGAGGTCCCCCGTCCAGGCCCTAGCTCCTGAACAACATTTCTAGACACACCCTGGGCCAGAAGGGAACTTGCTGCATTGAAGAAAAGGAGTCAGTCCTGGCAGGATTCATCACCTGCTGACTGAAGAGCCCTTGGGCCCAGCAGCAATACCAAGGTATTACATCGAGGGCCTTGGGTGAGAGACTCTGAGACTTGCTGGCTTCAGGTAAGACTCAGCACATTCCTAGCTGCAGTAGGTACAGGGCAAAACTCATTCTGCTTGAGAAAAGCAAAGGGAAAAGTAAAGAGGAATTTGTCTGGCATGTTAGGCACCAGCTTGGCTACAGTGGGGTAGAGAAACAAATGGGCTCTTGGTGTCCCCAATTCCAGGACTTGGCTCTTGGATGGCATTTCTGGACCTGCCCTGGGCTAAAGGGGAGCCCACTGCCCTGAAGGGTAAGTCCCTGATCTGGCAGCATCACCACGAGCTGACCAAAGAGCCCCTGGACCTTAAGGGAGCATCAGCAGTAGTCGAGTAGCACTCTTCATGGGCCTGTGGCAGTGACAGTCATGGGGTGAGGCTCCTCTGCCTTTGGAAAAGGGAGGAAAGAATGGGAAGGATGCTGTCTTGTGGTTGGAACACCAGCTTAGTCACAGTAGAATACAGCATCAGATAGATTTCTAGAATTTTTGACTCCAGGCTTTTACTCCTGGATGGCATCTCTGGACTTACCTGGAGCCTGGGGGAACCTACCACCCTCAAAGGAAGGACATAAGCCTGTCTGGCTTTGCCACTTGCTGACTGCACAG